AGCGTTTCTGGGGCCTGCAGGGCCCGTTTGCTAAAGCGAGGGGCCTTGGGGCAGCGGGAGGGAGGGAGAGGGGCGGGCGGGGGGTGAGGGCAGCCGTCGATGGGCACAGCCATGCCTTCGCGCCCCGCTGGGCCTGCGGGGCCTCTCCCCGCGTCCTGGGTGAGGGGTGGCCGAGCGCTACGTTCCTGCTCTCTGTTGGTATAAACCACCTTCTTCAAAGGTAGATCCAGAGAATAGTGGTTGTTGGACTTGATTTTCCTTCTCGTCTTTTATTCTGGGGTAACGTTTGTGTCCCCCTAGGTTACCATTGAGCAGGGTGGTGAGACAGGGCAGGGAGAAACGCTTGTGCTATTGGCAAGATTTATTTGGATCTGTGTTAGCCAAACGTATAGCTGTTGCTTCATAATTTTTTTTCTCCATCCTGATACATGAGAAGTGTTTGGAGAACAGCTGAAGAAGCCTGAGCTTTGGTAAGCTGCTTCTCTTAAGAGAAAAAGAGACCTTAATAAGCTTGCTGCCATTCTAGGAAGGGTTCCTGAGGAAGCCAGCTCGTGTTTGCGTTCAAAGGTTTCCAAAGCTTTTTTGTACCCTTGTGCTCCACTGAATGAATGAGGTCCTTAGTGATCACAGAATCACCTAGGTTGGAAGGGACCTTTAAGATCATCTAGTCCAACCATAAAAAAACCCAAACAAACAAAAAAACACCAAAAAAACAAACCAAACAAAAAACCCCCACCAACACTAAACCATATTCCCGACCACCATGTCAACTCGTCTTTTGAACCCCTCCAGGGATGGTGCCTCAGCCACTTCCCCGGGGCAGCCCATTCCAATGCTTGATAACCCTTTCAGTGAAGAAATGTTTCCTACTATCCAATCTGAACCTCCCCTGGCTCAACTTGAGGCCATTTCCTTTCATCCTGTTGCCTGTGACTTAGGAGAAGAGATCGACCCCCGTCTCTCTACACCCTCCTTTCAGAGAGTTGTAGAGAGTGATAAGGTCTCTCCTCAGCCTCCTCTTCTCCAGGCTGAACAACCCCAGGTCCCACAGCCTCAGAAGACTTGTGCCCCAGACTCCTCAACAGCTTCATTGCCCTTCTCTGGACCCGCTCCAGCACCTTAATGTCTTTTTTGTGGTAAGGGGCCCAAAACTGGGCACAGTACTTGAGGTGAGGTCTCACCAGTGCAGAGTACCAGGGGGACGATCACCTCTTGGGTCCTACTCACCACGTTGTATCCTAATGCAGGCCAGGATGCTGTTGGCCTTCTTGGCCACCTGGGCACACTGCTGACTCGTGTTCAGCCGACAGTCAACCAACACCCCCAGGTCCTTTTCTGCCAGGCAGCTCTCCAGCCACTCTGCCCCCAGCCTGTAGCGCTGCCTGGGGTTGGTGTGACCCAAGGGCAGGACCTGGCACTTGGCCTTGTTGAACCTCCTCCCGCTGGCCTCAGCCCATCAGTCCAGCCTCTCCAGATCCCTCTGCAAGACCTTGTATGGTTGCTGCTGTGTTGTTTGTAAATTTTCTTGAGGATTAAGACCTGGGAAGAAGGGTGTGCAAAACTAGTAATTTGTTTGCTTTTAATCATCTGAAACCCTGCTTCTAACATTATTATTTAAAGCCCAAAATAATAATAAAATTTTACTCTTGGGAATTTGGTGGGAGTATTTAGTGATGATATTCTTGTTATCTGCTGAGTGTTTCTGTTGGGAATCCTGACAAATGGCACCTGCACGTATTACAGGAGATTTTGTACCTGACTGTACTGACCTCCCTTGGATGCAATACCAAATCTTTCTTTACCTACATGTCAGTTATACAGTAGGACTAAAGTTTACTGAGTATTTCAGAAAGCTGAGACAAAGTAGATAGCCTGGGTGGTATTGCTTTTTAGTCTGAAGGTGTACAGCAGATGCTGTTTTGAGTATTTCTTTGACATGACATTGCAATATTCAGGTATACTTTTGTTCTTTGCTTCCTGAGTCTTTCGTGTTCCCTACTTGGCTTTCCCTCAAAAGATAAACAAGCACAGAAACACTGCTGAGTTCATAGACCTCAAAGGGCATATGCAATACCACGGTTTTGGTATCCACAGAAAACCATGTGTCATAGTGGAATGTATGTATCTTTATTGCTTAGCTTTCCAGTACTTTTTGGGGCATAGACCAGTGAGTTGTCCAAGTTTTCAGGTTAGTTTTTCAACCTGGCATTTGAAGGTTTCTATGTTATTTTGAGTAGAATTTTCTAAAGACACTGCTTGTCTCAGTAAATAAGTTTATATTCATGGAGCAAATGTACCCTTTTTCTGGTTCTGTAATTTCTGTCATGGATTTCTTGTTATGGTTGCTTATTTATTTATTTATGTAAATAAATTACCTAGTTATTCCAACAACTATATATAACTGTTTAAGTTACTGGTTTTTTCATGCTCTATTTACTTGGAAGATAGAAGGCCACCCTTTGATTTGGGAAATTCAGTTGTGACTTTCATTATGAATAGGCTCAGAAGATTAAAAATAAGACTGATGTATTTTGGGGGGTTGGTTCTCTGGAGTTTCTCTTTTTCTGGGTCATGTCATACTATGCCTGTTTAACTCAGCTATGTGCTTCGATGGGAAAATCACACTCTTTCTATGCCTAAAATTTGCACTATTCTGTTCCTCCTTCCTGCATAGCATCTACGGACTTTTCTGTTACTCTCTTCATTCCCCACCTGCTTTCTTGCACCCATTAATTCTTTGTATTTGGTGCCATGTTGCCTGGAGTCAGAATCATTTAACAATTTATTTAGCTTTTTTTTTTTTTAAATTGCTTCTATCTGTCTTTTTGAGTGATTGTTTATCTCTTTTTTTTTTTTTTTAAATTGCTTCTATCTGTCTTTTTGACTGAGTGTTTATCTCTTTTTTTTTTTTTAAATTGCTTCTATCTGTCTTTTTGACTGAGTGTTTATCTCTTTTTTTTTTTTTAAATTGCTTCTATCTGTCTTTTTGACTGAGTGTTTATCTCTTTTTTTTTTTTTAAATTGCTTCTATCTGTCTTTTTGACTGAGTGTTTATCTCTTTTTTTTTTTTTAAATTGCTTCTATCTGTCTTTTTGACTGAGTGTTTATCTCTTTTTTTTTTTTTAAATTGCTTCTATCTGTCTTTTTGACTGAGTGTTTATCTCTTTTTTTTTTTTTAAATTGCTTCTATCTGTCTTTTTGACTGAGTGTTTATCTCTTTTTTTTTTTTTAAATTGCTTCTATCTGTCTTTTTGACTGAGTGTTTATCTCTTTTTTTTTTTTTAAATTGCTTCTATCTGTCTTTTTGACTGAGTGTTTATCTCTTTTTTTTTTTTTAAATTGCTTCTATCTGTCTTTTTGACTGAGTGTTTATCTCTTTTTTTTTTTTTAAATTGCTTCTATCTGTCTTTTTGACTGAGTGTTTATCTCTTTTTTTTTTTTTTTAACATTTTAAAGGCAGTTCTTGTAATTAAAGTATAAATTATTTCAGAGTTTCCATTGAATGTCTGTCAACATCCATGCACTGCTGGAATACAAGTACACTTGTAGTGTGCAGCTGTAGATCACTGGAATGTCAGACAGCTATTATTGTGTTCATACTGGGACTAAAAAAATGCATAAGCTGTAAAAAAAAAGTGGAATAATTATTAAAATTATAATGGAAAGGTCATAATAAATCAAATGAGGATTTGGCAATAGGTTAAATGAAACTAAGTGATCCATAGCAGCAAATTTGTTCTGATAGATTACTGCACAGAAAAGTGACCTTAGAAATGTACTGTTTTGCTTTGCTTTAAGTTTTTTTTAAGGTACCTTAGTGTAGTTAATACTCTGAAGAGTGATCACTCCTGACGTGTATTGAAATTATCAAGGCAGATTTAAAAGAAACTTAAGAGTTCTGTTTAGCAACACCTAATTGGTGAAATTTTCTCTTTCAGGTGGAAATAAGGATAACATCAGAGCAGGATGCAAGAAGTGTGGATATCGTAAGTCTGTAATAAGCAATATGAAGTTAAAGTTTTTTCTTCAATTTATGATTTGAAACTGCCTTTTGAGGAAGAAGGTGGGAGGGGACAAAATAAGTGTTCTTCTATGTTGCCCAGAAATTTGTCAATTTAAATTATCATAATTTTATGTATTTACTTCCTGTTTATTCTCTGGCTTCTCATACCTATTGCCACTTTTGAAAACCCTTGAATTTCTCAGAATTAAAAAAAAAAAAAAGTATGCTATCATGTTCATATATGCTACATTTGCAATGCTGTCACTTGAGAACCTTTGAATTGAAAGTATGGTCTTTGATATTGTCCTGGGTTGAGCAACACAGGACTAACTTCTCTTCTGATGCTTGGGAAAGTGCACTTTTAGAAAACTAGTGTCTGAATATGTGAAAATATTTACTTTATAGTCAGCTAGGCTATGCAGGATTCAAAGTCGTGTGGTTTTGACTGCGGAGACTTTCCTCCTCCATGGATGGGGAGGAGCAAGGCCTGGGCATTTCACCCAGGTGGGGCAACGGGATTATTTCATACTGTGAACGTCACATTCAATAATAAATTAGAAAATTTGCTATATAGTTTCTCTCTCCCTTGATGGTGGCGCTCTGGAGAACTTCTTGCCCTGGTGCTGGACCCCGGTAGCACCCCCAAAGCTGTTGCATTCGCAGTGTCCAACGTTTGGTCTCCACTACTAGGAGTGCACAGCTTCCTACTGCTAGAATTGGCTGAGTATAATTCTTGTATATCTTATATCAGTATCGCTATCAATACTGGTTCTTTAGTATTATTGTGAATTATTTAGTCCTATCCTATTAAGCCTTTTTATATTTCAACTTCCGTGTTTCCTTGTTTTCCCCAGTTCCCCTTCCTGAGTGGGGAGAGGTAATCAGGTGATAGAATGATTGTCTGAATGACAATAAATTATTATGGGTTTCTCAAACCATAACAAATATCTACTGAGATTAGTATTCTGAGTCTCACTGCAAACCTGGGCAGGCACTTCAGCTCAAATTAAGTCCAGTCTGTTTTAAAAGAAAAAATAATTTTAAATCCGTATGATCTTCTACGCTAAGAAAACATACTTCTTTGCATTCTACATTCCAAGAAACATTTATTTTTGTTACTTAGAAGATTTGTAGTTAATATTTAGCTCTTCCCTTTGCATTATGCTTTTATAATATAAAGATGTCTGTGTCTGCTGATGAATGGAGACAGGTCTTTGATTTAATTTGTTAATTACTAACTCTTATTTTTATAATGATGTAGGGGTGGACACTGGATTTGCAGTGAATTGTATTGAACTTTCAACAGTGATTTAATCTATTTTTTTATAAGCATTATGTGGTGTGAGGGGGAGGGAGAAGTTTGCTCCATTCTTTCACTGTAGACTTTGTCTCCAACAAATTTTGTCAATGAATTGCTCTCTGTATCTGTTCTTCCAAGGGAACATGGATATCAATAAGATTTAGTGCTTCATTTCCACATGCAGTGTCAGAAGCTTTCTGAAGAGAAGGAAGCTTGTAGTCAAATCATACAACTTGCATTTATGTTCCTAAATGCTTTGTCTTCAAGCTGTAGGTATTTTGACATGAAGATGAGTTTTTTCAGTTGCTACTTGGATTCCTCAGTCTTTAGCCTAGTCTTTTTTCACTTCTCAAAACTGAATAATACTAAAATAGATGTTCTTTAGTATCTGATGGTTTTTTTGCTATATTGTAATTTTTCTTCCTGTATATTTGTTTTGTTCAGCTGGTCATCTGACATTCGAATGTCGAAACTTCCTCCGAGTAGATCCTCAAAGAGATATTGTTTTAGATGTCAGCAGCACTAGCAGTGAAGACAGCGAGGAAGAAGAACTACAGAGATTGCAAGCCATGCGTGAAAAAAAGAGTAAGGCATTTTGCTTTCTTTCTTTTTTTTTTTTTTTAAAGAGTAAATTGGGTAATGATCCTCTGAACTACTGGAACTCTGATTTTATCCTTTTTGATGATTACTGTTAGTTCTTTTAGCCTGTGCTTTAAAAGCAGCTCTTTTACTTCATGTGTTTGGACTTCAGAGATTTGGTACAGCCACTTTTATTTAAAAATTATTATTAAGTCCTCTCATAGGAAAGTAATAATGTACCCTTTTGGAAAATCTCAAAAGGTGCTTCTATATAAAAAACGTTGTAAGACGTTACTAAGAAGCTGCTTAGGAGAAAATCGTACGGATGTTCTAAGTTAATCTTTGATTATGACATGTAGTTTAAACATCTTAAAGTTGATAGTAACTCTTAAAACTATTGACAAATAGAACAGCTGGAATCCTCTCCAGTTTCTAAGTAGTGTTTTGACTGAAACAACTAGTGAATTGAAGTTAAATGTTCATATTTGGAGAAGTACTCTGTTCGGAAGGTCTGAGCATCAGCTGTTTGTCAGGAAGAGAATAGATGGGTTATTTAGCAGATACTTGGGTTCATTTGAATTTGGACTCTGAAGAGACTGTTCCCTTCTGTAAGAAGGGGAGGTTGTTCCACCGTAGCATGTCTTAAATGGATGAATGTTCTTCCCCTCTGCCCCTTGAAACATCATGTTTTGTACTGTTGCTCTCACGTTCCAAACTCAACATTCAGTTCCTACTAAAGATGCTATTTAGGAAGAAGAAAGGATAGACAGAACCCTGTAATTTGCTGGAACACCTCAAAAGAAATGGACGGTCTGCTTGTCAGGAGTGCAAAATTCATACTGCAACAGTCCTTTCTTGGAACAAGTCTCTTTAGAAAAGCTTATTCTCACTTAAGTACTTTTGAATGTATGGCTGGTTTTTGGCCCTAAACTGATTGAAGATGCATCTCTGCAGGAAAAGCAGCAGTTTACTTGATCTTGTAATATTCCAGTTTATTATATGCGCTTCCTCAAATGGTGACTGCTGTGTGTACTGTAAGGAGTACAGTACAGTATCTCTGGCTGTCAATCTAGGAAGGATTTTGCCACTTTCAAGTGGCCTTGTCTTCTCAAGATTTTTGCACTGTTTGCACTTAGATTTTTGCGCTCTTGTTCATGGCTTTTAATTGCTCCGAAAATATTTTGCTTTTTGCAACTCATATTGAATTCTTTCAAATTTTGCTCTAGAACATATTGACCAGTAGTTTCCATTTGTGGTAGGAAATGAATGTCTGCACTACCATGTAGACTCTATGGAAAGTTATTTGTATGATAGAAATAAGATGAAATGCTTAAAATTTGCTGTGTGTTTTAAGGATAAATTGTAAAGCCAGTATTTTCCTGTTAGCTGACATAGTAACATCATGTATTTATGTAGTGGATTTTCATTTTGGAGAATTCAAAAACACTTCTTGAACTAGTATAGAAAATTCTAAGGGTAGAAATTTCATCAGTGTGATAAAAATATTGCATATAAGTGAAATATCATGATACGATATAATGCTATATAGTGTTAGTGCCGGAAACAAACATGACCAGATGAGGGGTAACTCTTCTGCCAATTTTTGTAGCTAGTATCTTGACAGTTAACTACAGTTTATCTTAGTTATGGTATAGCTACTTGTGAAATGAAGATATGTGAAAGTAATTCAGGTAAACCTTTTTTTTTTTTTAAAAGTGTTCTAGTTAAATGACCTGTTTTCAGACTTGGGCAAGTTTTACATTTTCCATTTTAAAATATGGAAGAATGAATATGAAATCTAAAGCTGATGTCACAACTTTTTTCTGTTTTACAGACCTTCCTTCATTTTTAGTGCTTAGATCAAAGTCATTATAATTCAAATTGTATAAAATGTTCTGCTACTCTGCAAAATATTTCTAAAAGTACTCTACTAGACAAGAACTTGGGGAAAGGAAAAGTTTTTAACAAGAATTTTGTAGTAACTTTACATTGCTATCAAAGCCACTCTTTTAATGCTGATCTTAATTCAGACCAGTGTTTTGTGAACTGTAACTTTTCATCCATAGATTTAAATGAGGAGGAAGAAAAGAAGAAACAAAAAAGAAAAAGCAAAGAAAAAACAAAATTAAAGAGACCAAGGAAAAGGTAACTATCACACACCTATTTTAGTTTCAAAACAGAACTTTAGAAATATTTGTGATGTTTGCGTTGTTTCTCAGAAAACAATGCTTCTTTTGATGGAACTTTATTTGCAAGTACATTTTTGATTTGAAAAGTTTCCTGTTTTCCAGTGAGAACTTGTATGTTCTCTAAATAATGGCATAGCCACAGACTTTCTGCTATGGAGTTAAGACCATGGAAGTGTAGGAAGGTCTAGCAAGCTGGAGGTCTGCAGGTCTGAGAAAGCAATGCTCCTCTGACTGTCCAGAACTAGTCAAGATGTGGTGGGAGAAAGCAAAGAGTCAGGAGGGTTATGGGATTGGTCCCTGTCTTAGCTGACATGGAGAAGCCTTCCTGCAGTTCAAGACGCGAAGATTCCCTGTTTGCACGCATGCATATGTGTAGACATGCACACACACATGCTCTGAGTAACATGTAACCACCAAAATGAACACTTATGTAGTTTTACTTAGTGTGTGTTGAGTTCTAATGTTCCTGTTACTGTAAAAGCCTAAAAAAAGTGTTACTCCAGCCTCAAAGGAAAATCTCATAATATCCAAATTTATCATGAATCTTGAGTTTTGGCCTGCTGACTGATCTATTTATTTATTTATTTTTAGTTGAGGGTATAGACTGCTTATCCCAGTAACTGCACCAAGAGCTAGGGAATGTAGAATGTACTTGGAGACTACAATGTGATGGTTTTCAGAAATAAAGAAACAAGATTTAGCACTGGTTGCATTGGCATTTTCCCCCTTCCTTATTTACATAGTGTAGCTCTAGCTTACACTTATGAAGACAGTAAGAAAGAGTCAGTCTGCTGGCTGTAATCTTTACATGCAAGTTGAAGTCCCCCATGAGGACCAGGGTCTGTGACCATGATGCTGCTTCTATCTGTCTACAGAGGGATTCATCCACCCTGTTGCCCTGGTCAGGTGGTCTGTAGCAGATCCCTACTGAAACACCACCTGCCCCTGTGTTCCCTTTAATCTTGACCCATAAACTCTCTGTTGGGTCTTCATCCGTCCCCAGGTGGAGCTCAGTGCACTCCAGCTGTTCATTCATTGACACAGAGGGCAACACCCCCTCCTCCTCTCCCTGCCTGTTCTTCCTGAAGAGTATGTATCCCTCCATTCCAGACTCCAATCCTAAGAGCCATGCCACCATGTCTCTGTGATGCCAATAAGATCGTAGCCCTGGAGGCGTGCACATATCTCTAACTCCTCTTGCTTGTTCCCCATGCTACGAGCATGACTTATTGGCTGGAGTGGCTGCATTTCCTCCGTGCTGCTCTTCACATGGTCTTCCTTTGAGGTGTTTTATCTGTGAGGCCCTGATTCCTATTGCCCCAGGAGCCCCTGTCTCATCCCCATAAGGTTTTGAGTGTGCTGCAGGCGACCCAGCACATCTCAGAGCAACAGGTTGAGGGCCTTTGCTAGTGACCCATCCCACAGATCTTGGAGCATCATCCTTTGGCTTCTCAAGAGCCAGTTTAAAGCTTGGTCAATGAGCCCCGCCAGCTCATGAGCTAACACCCCCTTCCCCCTTTCAGAAAGATGAACCCCATCTGAAGCCAGCAAGCACTGTGAATTAATCTGTGTGATAAACATACTGCTTTTCTGGCACAATAGTCCAATTAGAAAAGTCGTTCAGTTGAATACACAAACTGAGATATCATGAACGTTCCAGTGGATGCTACTGTATGAATTCTACACCAAATTTTATTTGTGACATTATATAAACACCCAATATTGAAAAAAAGACCAACACTTTTTTTTTGGTGGCATTTTTCTTCTTTAATTACTTATCAATCTGTATCTATCTCTTTTTTTGTTTTTACTAGATCTTCCTCATCAAGTGCGTCTGAAGAGGATGGGCAAAAGTCAAAAAAACAAAAGTCACACAAAAAAGAAAGGGAAAAGGAAAAAAAGAGTAAATCTAAGAAAGGAAAACACCGTAAAAAGGAGAAAAAGAAGAGACGAAAGGAAAAAAGTTCATCTTCTGACAGTTCAGACAGTTCTAGTAGTGACTGAGGTGCTGGCCTATTTTTGCGTTCACTTCTGCAGAGAATATGATTTTCTTTTCAAATCAAATTTATTTATGCTTTGCAATGCTGTTGTTTTAAAATGAGATATATATATTTTTAAGAAATCTATTTGCAAATATCAGTGCTTCAAATTATTAAATGAACCATTTGGTAAAAAATCTGCTCCTCTATTTCACGTTTGTTGATACTGAGCCATGCAAGTTTAACTAGTTCTTCACTCTTATTCTTAGTTCAGTTGTGATTAGCTGTGTCTGGAGTCCCTCACACTAGGATGTGGTAAACTTCAGTTTGCAAGTTTTTGTGTAGAAAGATTTGGACTTGAATATGCTTAATGTCACAGTGGCTAAATCAAATTGGAAATTAAAGTGAGACTTTCTATGATGTTATTCTTTAAATAATTGTATGTTTTGCATAACATTTTCTACTTACATTAATCAGTAAGTGCAAATACGAAATAGAGTTTGAGTCCAGAGAAGGGAAAGAAGGAGCAATGAGGAGCTAAAAGAGATTGCTCCTTCAAAATTATCTTCTAAAATCGATCTCGTCACAGACTGTGAAACACCATTACTCGTTCTTTTGGCAAGATCACTGTGGGCAAGCTGAAAACAAACAAAAGCTATTCATTTATCAAAGTCCTTTCTTTCTGCCTAGGTCTTGTTCTTTGACATAGATACAAAGTGCCACTTCCTAACACTAGATGACTGTCCAGCAAGATTGTTTCCAAAGTTCTAAGGACCATGTTAATACAGTATGTGGTGATTAATGCCTACATGAACCAAACCAGGAAATTCAAAGACTGACAATTGGCAAGAATTGTGAAGCCTCCACTCATTCTAATAAAATCCCCATTGAAAAGTTAAAAACCAACCAACCAACCAACCAAACCTCTTGCAGAATGTAAGCAATCTATCATGTTGAAGTGGGTAGCAAAATTTACCATTTGATATCAGAAGCAATGTTAAATATGTCAAAATTTTATAACTGGGTTCTGGGGTATCCACTTTTGAGCAGATTTTAATTGTCAAATCCTACCCCAGAAATGCCTGAACCTCAAAGTGCCTACATTTGCAGCTTGTTGACAATGTTGTTCTTGCCTGTGGTTTCGGGGCTTTTTTTGTGCTGAGACACAGACCTGCTTCCCCCTCAGCAGCTTGGCCTACAGCTGCAGTGTAAGTCTTAGGGGAGTCAAAGTATGAGGAAAAACACCACCTAAGCTTTCTTAACAATAGTATCCATTGACTGTGTTTTCTACAGTGGGTTAGGTCATTGAGTCAATACAAAATGTTTTACAGTATTTTAATGGTTGCTGCATTTGTCCTGAAAGTGAGATATCTAGATCTAACTCTTGCTTTCAAACTTTTATGTCTCAGACCAGTACTCTTATCGCTGGGCAACTTGTGCTGTAGATGCTATCCTAGGGAACATTAAAGATCAAAATACTCACGGAAGCCACAGAACAAAGAGAAATAATCTGTAACCTTCTATGTAGGCCTTTCAGTAGAGGATGGCAAGAGTCCTTGCATCTGCTCTTTTTCTTACTGGCTTTGGCCCAATCTAATTTTTCATATCATATATTGTGATTTCTGGGATGTGCTTGGATGATATAACTGAAGAGAGACTGGTCTCTTCAATTAGCTGATGCCTGTGCAAAGTATGAAGAACATTTCTTTTGTAAGTACTAATTTAACAGATTTTGCCGTGTTTATTCTAGTCTTCTTAGTGTTGCTTTGGCTATTAGAGCTTATTTTTGACTGAGTTAATTCTCTAAGCCAGTTACACTGTAGAGTGCAATGGGGGGACTTGTGGGATACTAAGCCAGTACTGTTGCCAAAGGAAATATTTAATCAAGCCACAGCTTAAGACACAACTCATTGTGAATTTCTTTTTCCCCTAAAATGTTCCTTACTTAATGAGGATGGAAGGATTATTGGGGTTAGGGGAATTCAGAACATGTATGTAATTTTCCCATGACTTTCCAATGGTCTCCTGATGATGCCAACTCTGAGGAATGGGTTATTTGTTTCTTGATCTTTTAAAGCTTCATCTGAAAGCATGGAACTGAAGGGAAATTTACTGACCTTTCTATACCAGAATGGCCAAAGAGTTTATTAAATAACCCTTATTAGAGTTAATATGTCTCTGGGTGTAAGTATAATTTATACATCAAATTCTATTTAGTGACAAATTAGAGAATGGATAGAGGCTTAAAGTTCAGAAAAAGCAACTGGTATGTATTTTAGTAGTGCTCCTTATACTTTTGCGTGCTTTCAAATAGCCTTTTTAGATTCTAGCTCTAATTGCTGAAATCAAAAGATTGCCTATCTAAATGATAGTACAATTAATTACCTTCCATGTAGCATTACAGCAGCTATTTGTAGTAGTTGCAATGGTAATTTGTGCAAAAGTGTAAGGCATGAATTTCAGTGTTCATGTTTTGGCACTTGTTACTGGTGTATGTAGATTTTTATATTGGAAAAAGGCTTTTCTAACTAGAACAATTTAAATACCTTTATTGTCTCAATTCATGCATTTATGTAATAGAGAATATAATGTATCGGCTTATTTTTCAGGCCACGCTCCCATTTTTTTTTACAAAGATGTGCATTAAAGTCAATAGATTTTGCCACAGAGATGCTCAGGATTGCAGGTATATTAACTGATACATTGAGGAGATGCTGCAATGAACAGTTCTCTGTCAAGTTAATATTTGCTAATCTTTAAAAGTGATATAAAAATAAATATGATTGTTTTTCTTATTTGATTTAACCATAATTTCAGGAAGTCTGATGTGTTGTAACAAATGTGATTGTTTGATTTGAGTCTTAGCTTGAACCAAAAATGCCTGCTCTGCTTCCAGAAAAACAAGTGACATTTAGCAGGTCTAGGTATCAAAACAAGACTTCTGATATTAAAAGTCGGCTATTTCTTCACTCCTACCAATTGTTATTAGCTTCAGTTTTCATGAATCACACTTTCAAGGGCAAAGCTTAGAGAAAAAAGGAGAATTTATGACCTTTGGAAAAAGGGGCAGGCCACGCAGGAAGATTACAAAGGTGTAGCAAAGTTATGTAGGGAAAAGATTAGGAGGGCCAAAGCCCACCTAGAGCTCAACCTGGCTTTGGATGTTAAAAACAATAAAAAGAATTTCTATAAATATATCAATAGCAAGAGGAGGTCTTGGGAGAACCTCCATCCTCTACTGGATAAGGGAGGTAACATAGTGACCAAAGATGAGGAGAAGGCTGAAGTCCTAAATGCCTTCTTTGCCTCAGTCTTCAGTAGTAGGACAGGGGGTTCCCTAAATATCCAGACCCCTGAACTAGCAGGCAGGGGCGGGGAGCAGAGCGAAGCCCCTGCAATTCAAAGGGAGATGGTGAGGGACCTGCTCCAACACCTAGATGCAAACAAGTCTATGGGACCAGATGAGATCCACCCGAGGGTGCTGAGGGAACTGGCAGAAGTGCTTGCGGAGCCACTCTCCATCATTTACCAGCAGTCCTGGCAAACTGGGGAGGTCCCGGCCGACTGGCGTCTGGCAAATGTGACGCCCATCCACAAGAAGGGC